GGCCTTGCAGGTCCACCGCCGGGCCCCTCATGGGGCTCGGCAGTGGAGCTGCAAGGCCGGCGGTGGCGGCCGGGACCGTTGGGGGTGTGGCCTTATGACACATTTCCGGTGATGTCAGGGGGTGTGGCCTTATGACACACTTCTGGTGATGTCAGGGTGTGTGGCATATGCTAATGAGTTATGCTAATGAGTTCCCCTAGCTCTTTTTCTACGAAATGACCCCTGGTACTGTCTATCAGTACTCCCTCACACACACACCTGCGAAGTGGCCGGCAGTTTGAAACTGGATTAATTAGTATTTGCCATCTGACCTCATTTTCTGAAATGTGCTATTAATGTTTTTAATTGCTTTTAGACATGTTTTTATGGCTGTTGTACATTGCCCAGAGTGTGACATTAGCAGGGATTGGGCAATTTATACATGCATGCATACATACATGTGTACACACACCCACATTCAGTCCCCTTCCTAATAATCCCCAGCATTGCATTGGCCTTTTTTATGGCCGTTGCAACACTGAATCGACATTTTTCAGTGACTTATCTACCACGATTCCAGGATCTCTCTCCTGGTCAGTCTCTGCCAGTTCAGACCCCATCAATGTATATTTATAGTTAGGATCTTGAATAAATGAGAGCAAATGTTTTCCTATGCCACAGTTATACCTAAGCAAAATTGCTCCATGGGTGAATTGCAGGTTACCAGCAAGCCATGCGTGATTTCAGTGTGAGCTCCGGTGGCTAATTATTGTTGCTACATTTACTGACCGGCCTAATGCCACAGCTAGAAGAGGTTCCTGCAACAGCTGTGAAGAGGGGGGTGGAAATTCAGCATAAGGGAACTTGCTCTGTCAGAAACTCCTCTGCTGTCTTAGGCTTCCTTTCAGCTTGCCATAAAGTTAATGGATTAGATCAGAGGCAGCTTCCTCAGCTGCTCTGCTGGAGCGTGTCTCCTCCGGATGTCAGCACTGTCAAAAATAGCGCAGGATGGATCTGAGCAGTCGTGAGTCTTATTAGGTTATTAAGGTTTGATTTTTATTTATTTTTTAACGAGCCGTGTGGGTGGCCCACATGCCGATCCTGGATTATTACTGAAGATGCCACTCAGAGCGAGTTGGTTATTCAATGGGCTATGGCGACCATTTGATTTGTGGATTAAAGGTTGATTGGGATTTACGATTAAGGGATTGTGGGTTGATTCCGGAGCATGCTGCCTTTATTTCTGTCTTCCCGGCAGCTGAGAGCTAGTGTGGTGTTGTGGGCAGAGTGTCGGAGTGAAGAAGGCTGGGCTGAAATCCTTAGTTAAGGATGTATGAAGAGCTCTGCTGGATCAGACCACTGGTCAATCTAGTCTCGCGTCCTGTCTCACCCAGTGGCCAGCCAGTTACTCCAGAGATCCAATAGCAGGGCATAGAGGCTGAGGGCCGTCCCCTGATGCCTCCTCCTGGCTTACTGCCTCCAAATGTGAAGGTTCCCCTCAGCCTCCATGGCTAGAAGCTACTGATAGACCTGTCTTCCATGAATCTGTGTAATCCCCTTTTAAAGCCATCTATGCCTGTGGCAGCAGATTCCACATCTTAATCGACCATTGTGTCAAGACGTATTTCCTTTTGTTCGTCCTGAATCTGCTGCCCAACAACTTCATTGGATCATTGGGATGCTTCTCCGGTTCTACTGCTTTAGAAGAGAAGAAAAAGTTCTCTCTGGCTGAGGTCACACACCCTAAATAATCCACTTCAAGTCTGCTTTCCAACTGGGTTTGGCCAGATCACACAGTAAAATCCAGTTGGAAAGTGCACTGAAAGTGGGTTGAAAGTGTGTGTGCGACCACAGACTCTGTCTACTACTCTCTCTACCCCGTGCATAATTTTATAAACCTCTATCATGTTCCCCCTTGGCCTTGGACTAGTTACTCTGTCCCTGCCTCTTCTTTCTCACAAGAAATTAGGCAGTGGCAGGGATGGCCCAAGAGGTTTTGGTGCCCTGGGCTGGCCGGCCCTGGCACACATGCCCCGAGACTGCAAAGGAGGGAGAAAGTGGAGCCGTGATGGTGGAACTGACGGACTTCTGAGAGCCAGTTTGATGTAGTGGTTAAGTGCGCGGACTCTAATCTGGGAGAGCTGGGTTTGATTCCCCACTCCTCCACTTGCAGCTGCTGGATGACCTTGGGCAAGCCATAGTTCTGACAAGAGCTGTCCTTGAGAGGGCAGTTCTGGAAACAGCTCTCTCAGCCCCACCTACCTCACAGGGTGTCTGTTGTGTGGAGGGGAAGGGAAAGGAGTTTGGAAGCCGTTCTGAGACTCCCTTGGGTAGTGAAGGGCGGGGTATACATCCAATCTCCTCTCCTCCTCTTCCTCCTCCTCCTCCCTCTTTTGCAGGAGCGGAGCAGCCAGGCTGAGTCAGCCACCATGAAGCTGGAAGGAGAGAGCAGAGCCCAGCTTTGCAGATCTGGCAGCTTCCTGCTGTTCCTCCATCTTTCAGAGGGGTGGAATGGGGAAAGGTGATCTGGGTGGTTGTTCTGGGGCTAGGGGTGCCACTCAGGGCTACTGCTTATCATCAGCATGCCTATTTGGGTGCCCCTGGAGCTGCCACTGCCCTCTGGCACTCCAGGCAGTTGCCTAGGTATGCCAAGTGGGCAAGCCATCTCTGGGCAGCCATGTAGTCTAGCAAATCTTCCTAGGCAAAGCAGTTCTGTAGTGAGGACAGTACTCTTCTCTTCTGTACTTGTTGCTTCTATGGATGACCAGGTCTCCTCTACTGATGTTAATGAACAAGGAGGTACATCAGAGGTTTGGAACAGCTCTGATCCACTGGTCAAGACTCACAGTGTCTCCCCAGCAGAGACAGGCCTTTCCCCACTATCCTTTTAATAGAACATAGGAAAATGAAATGAAATTGAACTGTAAAATGGCAATGTTTTAGGCTGTGTATGTGTTTCCAGAGATGGGTGTCTATATTTAAGATATATATATATATATATATATAGTATATTTTATACTGAATGTGCAGATTTTAGAGGTTATTATATTTTAAATCTAATTCAAATTCCAGTGCTGTAAGTTGTCTAATTTGTATATTGTTTAAATTTAAATTTTAAATTGTAATGGCCAATGGCTACACAATAAATTTTACTACTACTACTACACTATCCTTTTAACTGGAGATGCCTGGGATTGAACTTTCTGCACATGAAACGTGGGTCCTGCCACTAAATTGCAGCCCTCGGCTATGCAAAGCCCAGACCTCTTAAGCTTTTCAGGGTTTCCCTCCTTTGTTTTCCCCTGCCGTTTGTTTTAAAAGCCTGTCTATCAAAGCTAAGCATTTCTCACTACCCAGCCTGGTTTTTTTTTTAAACAAACCCTTTCCTGACATTTTTCTCCTACACCTTTGTGTTTCTCGCGCTTAATCAATTGTGCCTCTGGGAAGTGATTGATTGTGAAGCCCAAGCAGCATATTAGTGCCTCTCTCCCTTAAAAGGTGGTCCACAGACTGCATCCTCTCCCACCATTGTTCTTACCAAGATATCTGAAAGCCCCTCTGTTTTCCTGGATGTCTATACTATGGGCTTGAGAAAGGGGTGCAGTATGCTTTCTTACAATGCATACTTTTGAATTCACCTCATGGGCAAGGAGTTCCTTTTACAATCTGCTTGTGAATGTCTTCCGTGGACCGGTCGAAAAAAGTTTGGCCAGTTGACTAGTGGAATTCCACCATATCTAATAATAAGACAGGGCTGGTCCCAGTGCCTGTTAGAGAGGCCGCGAAATGGGGAAACCCACAGATGATACAGGGGCGTTACATATTTGGGGGACTCCCCATCGGTGCAGTCCCCCGTGGGTGCAGAAAAGTATTACTTCGCAAATTAACCAAAAGGGGAGAAAAAAACCCCACCCCCAAAAAATCAGCCTGGTGATGAGTAGTTGCACTCCAGAAGCACGGAATGTTGACCGCAGTAAGATTTAAAAGGGGGAAAGGTAGGGATGCCAGCTCTAGTTCGGGAAATTCCTGGCGATTTGGCAGGGACCTCAGCAGGGTATAATGGCCACAGAGTCCACCTTCCAAAGCAGCCATTTTCTCCAGGTGAAATTATCTCCATCACCTGGAGATCAGTTGTGATCCCAGGAGATCTCCAGCTATCACCTGGAGGTTGTATCAAAACACAAACGCTCCGTGTATAACTTACGAACAGAAGTAGAAAGAATATATTATCCAAAGCAAGTTTAACGATTCTTAACCGTTCAAATATTTGTCAAATTCAAACACTCTTATGATTCCTTAAAGGGTTAGGATCCAACAGTAGAAGCTTTGTCGACAGAAAGAAGAACATGTTAGTGGGGTGACTGGATTCGGAAAACTGGTCTAAGCAGGGCTTTTTTTGTAGAAAAAGCCCAGCAGGAACTCATTAGCATAATAGGCCACACCCAACAGCAGAAACACATTAGCATATTAGGCCCCACCCCTGGCAGCACAGCTCATTAGCATATTAGGCCGCAACCCCACATTACCAGAAGTGTGGTCATCCAGCCACACCCACCTTTTGCTTCTTATTCTGTTTACCTTGTTTGTTGTCAAGACCCAGGGCTTTTTTTGTAGCAGGAACTCCTTTGCATGTTAGGCCACACACCCCTAATGTAGCCAATCCTAATGAGTTTCTGCTGTTGGGTGTGGCCAGTTCTGCTGAGTTCCTGCTGGGCGTGGCCAACTCGGGAGCCAGCCGGAACTCCGTTCCTGTGCGTTCCTGCCCAAAAATAGCCCTGGGTCTAAGGAGATTTGTTAAATTATCTTTTGACTAAAAGAGTACCAGCTATCTGAAGAAGCCGGAGGCGAACACAGAACTGAAGCCAGCTGTGCATAGCTGCTACTCCTGCAACGTGGAAATTTTGTTTTCCTGTGGGACTTTTGCTCTCCTGAAGCGTCTTATACAAAAGAGTAGTGAACTTTGCTTGGATTCTGTCTTTTGTACTTAGTACTGTTGGATCCTAACCCTTTAAGAAATCATAAGAGTGTTTTAATTTGACAAATATTTCAACTGTTAAGAATTGTTAAAATTGCTTTGGATAATTCTTTCTACGTCTGTTCGTAAGTTATACACAGAGTGTTTGTGTTTTGATACACTCACCTGGGGGTTGGCAACCCTTGGGGAAGGATATATATGTTGGCGGGGGCGGGTAGTTTTGCAAGTTCCTGAGAGCTGACAGGAGACTGGAGAGGGGGGATTTTGAGGGATAGGGTACAATTTACAATTCATTCAGTGACTAGTTGCATGCCCCCTAACCTGGCTGTCAAACAGCAGTTTTAAAGTACAGCCGTTTTGTTTAGAACAATAGAAAGCAGAGGGGCTTTAATCTCCAGTGGTCCATGAGCACAAACTACCAGTCCCTTCTGCTCCTCCGAAACAAATAGGACTGACATAAAACATCCTATTTTTATGTTTCTCATTCGGATGGGGTTGAGTGGGCTGTTTTTCTGGAGGGCTGGACTTCATGCACCATGCCTTGTCTGCATCTCTGTAGTCCCTTTCAGTCAGAGGTGTATCTTCCCTTGACCTTTCTGATGTCTTTCCCTGCCTGGTTGTGAATGCCTACGTTAAAAAACAGACATTTTAGAAGTCAAATGTTGTTTATCTGAATAAATGAGGCCTTTTTGTGTTCTCAGCATTTAGAGAAAGGGGGAGAAATTAATGTTGTCACTGGCAGCAGACTCTAACTGCGCAAAGAACTAGGGGGTGAAGGTGGGGGATGAATACATTTCATTAACATGTCTCCCCCTGGAGTGCTGCAGTTTTAATTAAAAGACCTCGAAGTTAGCGGAGACCGCGAGGGAAATCATCTCTGTCTCTCTCGGTTTTTTAATAATGGCAAAGGCTGGTGAGAGGCTCTGTTTCCCTGCAAACTGCCTCAGCCAGTCCCTGCGAAAAATCGTATCCCCCCTTGAGTCACTGTTTTTTTTCTTTATATCTTTGACCCTCAGGCATCCAAAGCTAAGGTCAGCATCCCTCTCTCGGCCATTATCGAGGTGCGGACGACCATGCCTTTGGAGATGCCGGACAAAGACAACACTTTCGTGCTGAAGGTAAGGCAGTTTCGCTGGGCACAAGGACATAAGGGTGGCCTCGCTGGATCAGAACAGTGGCTGGATCCATGCATCGTTAAATCTTGTGCTGTGTTTCTCCTACCAGCAATTGTTCATAAAGGGATTTTCCTGTGTGGAGGAGACACAGTCTCCAGTCACAAACAATAGTTAATGTATGGAACACACTGCCACAACAATAGTTACGATATCCAGCCTTGTGTGGGTTCAGCCAACAGGGTACAGTGGTTATGGTGACGTACTGGGGTCTAGGAAACTCAAGCTCAAATGCCCCCTCTGCCGTGGAAGTCCCTCTTGATAGAATTGCCAGTTCTCTCACCTAGGGAATTCCTGAAGACTGGAGGAGGGACGGGGAGAGCAGGGTTTGGGGAGGGGAGAGAACTCAGTGGGGATACGTTGTCACTCTAGGACTTCCATTTCTCCTAGACTGTGGGGTATACCAAAGGGCCCATACCTTGAAGTGGCCATTTCTTCTAGGGGAACCTGACCATTACAGTCTGAAGTTCAGTTGTAATTCTGGGAGAACTTCAGGCTCCACCATGGGGCTGGCAGCTCTGCCTCATAGGGTGGTGGTTGTGAAGATAACGTGAAGGAGGGGAAGACAACATTGTAAGCCATTTTGGGTCCCCACTGGGGACAAAAACAGGGTATAAATAAATACATTTCATACAGCAGCCTGTCCGAAGCACCTCATGCTAGTCACATTGTTCAGCAAACACTGCTTAAAACTGTTAAGATTCCCTGTTCCATAATTAAGGCTATATCAGTTGCCCTTTTCTTCTTCTTTTTTTAACTCTCCATGCGTTTGTCACTTTGGGTGCGTTCAGACGGGGCGTTTCAGCCGGCATAAACTGCACCGGTTGGAACCGTTGCAGTTTATGCCGGCTGAAACGCAATCACACTTACCTCCTGTTTGCGGAGCCCATCGCTGTATGCCCGTTCACACACAGCGGGCGTCGGCGGGTTTTTTTAAAACTCACTTTGCGCGTGCGGATAGGCAGCCATCCACAGAATGGCGATCTTCGCGCATGCGCAAAACACCCGGTCCAGAAAAGCATGCCCTGAAGAGAGGACTTACCTTTAAAGTTTAAAGAGTAAACTGGCTTCCCTGAGGTCTCGGACTCCTCTAAAACGTTAAACTAAGGACCTTTTTTTTTTTTTTTTAAACTAACGCTGGGGCGAAGCTTCGCCCAAGCGCATATCGCCGACCTTAAAAAAAAAATGGCGGGCGAAAATCGGAAGCCTTGGGTTTACGAACGGAAATGGCTCTACAACAGTGGAGAGCGATCAGACGGGGGGGGGGGGTTTAAGCGATTACAACCGTTGCACTCAGGATACCACCACTTGGGGACCTAGTGGCAGAATACAATGGTTTAAAGCTCTTTGCAACGGTTAGGGACGAAAGGCAGATGTTCGCCGTGTGAACGCCTGTAAGTACACCGATTCCAACCAGCACCTATATCGTTGTAAATGCCCCGTCTGAACGCACCCAGTCTCTCTTACATTTTTGCATTCTGGCCTGCCTCCTAGGAGCTGAGGGTTGTGTGTGTGTGTGTGTGTGTGTATTGGGGGGGAAGGTTCCTGTGCTATTTTTATCCTCTGCAACAATCTTTTGAGGTGGATAGACTGTGCCAGGCATGAGTGATCTGGAGTCAATTGGTATGATCGTACCACTTAAGAATATAAATGCATATCTTGCCAGTCCGAGTTCCATTCTGTATCCACCTCACTGCGTTGGTTCTCAGATCTCAGCCGCCTGTCGTATACGGGAGGGAATGAAATGCAGTTTCAAAGGTTTGCCCTGATCTTGCCCATCAAGTTTGCACATTAATGATCTCTCCTTTTGACCTTGATAGAACTTTTTTTTCCACCATTAAAACTGCACTGAGCATCTGGCTCCTTTTTCAAAGAGCCAACTCTGGGCGAAATGATGCCCCACGGCTGTTGGTGTTGCTATGGTGACTGGCCTAGCTGCCAAATGAGCCATTCCTTGACAAATCAAACTTATGCAAACTTCCTTCCAAGCTCCCCGTCTGTGAGGAAAAAAAAGAAAACCTTGACGTTTTGCTTGGTGTTAGGATCTCTTGGGGGCCAAGCCTTTTTCGTTTCTTTCTGGTTTGGGGGGCTTTTTCTTTCTCCGCCAGCTTTCTGAATTCGTAGGGAATGCTTGTGCTTGGGGAGGCATTGTGTGGAGAGATGAAATCATGTTTGCTGCTATCCAAAACCTGCCGGCCTTTCCTCTCACCTTTCCAATCATCAGCAAATTTTCTTTCAGTTCTTGCAAAATTAAACTGTAGTTAGGTCCATCACTGGCCACAGGCCATTACATCACAAGAACCCTACTGGACCAGACCAACGGCCATCTAACCCAGCAGCCTGTTTCCCATGATAGCTAGCCAGGTACGACTAGAAAGCCCCAAAGCCAGGCATGAAGGCCAGAACATCTGTTATTACCCTCTTAACAATTGACATTCAGAGGCACACTTCCTCTGAACATCAAGGTTCCATTAAGCATTGTTTGGCTAAATCAAGGGCCCTTGATTAATTGCCCTCTATTAATTCATCTGAACTCTGTGTAAAGCCCTGCATCCTGATGGCCATCACAACAGTTTTGTGGCAGTGTGTTCCATAAATTAATTACATCTTGTGTGAAGAAGCTGACGGTGAAATTCCTAACAAAGTACTTCCTTCTTCTTGTCCAGCCCCCCTCATTTTCCTTATTTTCTCCCTAAATTGAAAAGCGCCCCAAACTCAGAACATACATGGAATTTGCTGCAAAGGTTTCACAAAGAAGGGATCAGCTGAATTCATTTTTATTTAAAAAGATGACAAAATGGAACCTCCATGCGCGAAGGCAGTCTAGCTCTGAATACCAGGAGATAAGCACCAAGGAAGATCTGTTGTGTTCTGGCCTTGCTCGGGAGGTTTGTTTAGAGGCATCAGGCTGGAAACAGAATGATAGATTCGATAGGCTTTGGTCTCCTCCGACAGGGCTCATCTTACATTTTTAATGGGAGAGTGGTGTTATCTGAACTCCGGCTATGCCCTTTCCTCGTATTCCTCTGTATCACTTTCTTAGGGGGAGAGGGGCTAACAGAAACACGCCCCCCATCCCCTGTTCACTTTCTAGCACCTTCTACATTGGTTATTTTGGGAGAGTGATTCAATCCTGCCAGGTGAGGTGGGCTCAGTGGAATGTCATTCCAGCCAGCACTGTGAACTCTTGACCAAGGTGAAGCGGCAACAGATTATATAACCTGAGCAGGGGAGAGAGGAAAACTTTTTTTCCGGTGGCTCACCATGAATTTTAATACCGATCTGCTTTTCTGTTACTGTCAGGGCTGGCCCAAGATGATTTAGAGCCTGTAGCAGAAACTTCAAATGGTCTCTTTCTTCTCTCCCAAACCCATCCCTGTTAACAAGGGGCATCATCCTTTGGGAGTCGTCTACACACACACACACAGACACACACAGACACACACCATTCATTTTAATGGGGCCCACACAGGATATCTTCCGAGTGCCTTCTGGGGTCAGTGCTTTTTAAAATGACCTTTGCCATCTGGTGTACATATCAATGCTTGTGTTAAAAATATATATGTTCAAAAAATCTGTGGCATGCTTCATTGGGGGGGGGCTCCTTTTTAGTCAGTCAAAATGTTTTTACTAAGTTGATTCAGCTGTACTGCCCTACTTAGAGATGTGAAGGCCCAGTGAAGAACCACAAAGGTTTTTTTCCCTCCCAGAGAATTCCCCCCCCCCCCAAAAAAAATACTTGAATGAAATATTTTCCCTTTTGGAAGAGTGAAATGCTTTTGAAGGAAGGGCTTTATTCTGAATGCGTTGTATGAAGATTTTTACACAAGAGAATTCCCAGGGTGTGAGAATAATTCCTACATGTGCTGTGGAAATATACAACCATTTAAAAGCATATATTTGTTTAAATGTGACTTATTTTGTCCGCAATTAACAGGTGTATTATGATGATACACAACTGGAGAGTTCAGTGTTTAACAGTTTGTATCCGAATGTGCTGCTATGTCTGTTGTGATTGCAAATGAGACCATTTTTGTCTGAATTTATACACAGTGTTTTGTTTACTACGAAAGCTGTTTTCTGTTTTCTATTTTATTTTTATTTTTTTGCCTTGTAGCTGTCTCAAACGAAGGGCCCACACAGTGTTGTCTGGAGAAAATGCTGGCATTTATACTTTTGGATTTTATAAATATGCCAGATATAAAACTGCTGTGTGCTAACTCAATTGTAAATTATGCATTTTATGTTGCTGAAGAAGTAAAATAAATTTAGGGTTGATCAGCAAGTACTGCATGTTTCAATTTCCTCCAAAATTTCTGGGTTTTTCCCCCCCAAGGAGGAAAACAATTTCCCCTCATAGTTTCAAAATATCTGGACATTTTATTTCTCTAGCCCTAATTATTTTTGGATCCTCCCACATGTTTTTCCAGTCTACAGCCCTTGCATTCAAACAGGTTCTGAGGCTGAGTCCCAGTTCAAATTCAGCCTTTGGGTGTTTTGGATTCTGGGAAGGGGGTGGGGGAGAGGAGGTGTTTGTTTGAATGGCTTTCTTCCATTCTTTCTCACCTAGGTAGAGAATGGTGCGGAGTACATCCTGGAAACAATTGACTCCTTACAGAAGCATTCATGGGTGGCGGATATACAGGACTGTATAGATCCAGGGTAAGAGAGTATAGGGGCTCAGGATCACTCATGCTGATTTCCAAAAGAATGGGGACTCGGAACAGCTTATGAAACTGTAACTTGAATTTAAAAAAAAAGTACAATAAACCACCTGTTAGTCTGCTCCTGGAGCCATTGAGCTGGCGCATTCAGGGCCACAGGTGACAAACCATGGGCTTAAGCACCTTGGTTTCCTGTCCTGGTGTCTCTGGCCACGCTCAGGTTTAAATACCTATAAAGAAGGGAAGAACGGATGAGATTGGTGTTCAAGGCAAAAAAAAAAACACCCTATAAAGAACGGAGCTGCGGTGGCTCAAGTGGTTAAGATGCTGAACTGCAGGCTGTGGAAGGTCAGTAGTTCAGCAGTTCAAGACCCGAGTTGCCGCATGACGGAGTGAGCTCCCGTCTCTAGTTCCAGCTCCTGCCAACCTAGCAGTTCGAAAGCAAGAAATTGCAAGTAGATAAATAGGTACCACTTCATTGGGAAGGTAACAGCGTTCCGTGCGCCTTGGTGTTTAGTCATGCCGGCCACATGACCACGGAAACATCTTCGGACAGCGCTGGCTCTTCGGCTTTGAAACGGAGATGAGCACTGCAACCCTAGAGTCGGACTCGACTGGCTTTCGAGCAAGGGAACCTTTACCTTTACCTTTTTAAAGAAGGGAAACAGGCTCAGCTTGGGTTGTACGCAGCTGGCAGAGCCGTTTCCCCCAATCCCCCCTCCCTTCTAATTTCCTCCTCTCCTCCACTGTGCAAAATGGCAACTGAGGCTTCTGTGGCATCCTTTTCTGTATTCGGCATTTTAGCCGCCTGCCCGGGCTTGATTTAAACACGATGCTCGGCAAAGCAAAAACACTTTCCCATGGGACTCCACACTTGCACCGGTATCTTATTTAAATCATGCCATGCAGCTGCTTTTCATAGGTAGCGGCCCAGTTTAAATGAGATGCTGTGGGAGTGCAGAGTCCCATGGGAGAGGCCTCTACCGGCATCATGTTTAAATCGAGCCTCAGAGAGCCAATCTATGCATGCAAGTAAACAATGTACAGAATTCCTGGGGCTCTACCATTTCTGATTGGAAGGAGTGTGTATATATGAACAAAAGGAGGGCTTTTGGGGGGAGAAAAATTCCATTTTCTTCCCTGTTCTGCACCTTCTCGTCTTCTGGCCCAGCTTGGTCACCCTCCTACCACCCCGTCTCCATATGTTCCCCTCGCCTGCATTCCCCCCACCTTACAACCTTCCCTCTTGTTTGTCTCTCTCCCGTCAAAATCTGGATATATAAACCCCTTGGGCAGGACCCTGATTTCTTTCGCTCGTGAAATTCAGTCAAGTAACACATAGGTTACTGAGCGGTGGCTCAGTGGTTAAGACGCTGAACTGCAGGCTGGAAGGTCGGTATTTCAGCAATTCGAGACCTGAGTGCTGCATGGCAGAGTGAGCTCCCGTCTCTGGCCCCAGCTCCTGCCAACCTAGCAGTTTGAAAGCCAGAAATTGCAAGTAGATAAATACCGCTTCGGTGGGAAGGTAACAGCGTTCCGTGCGCCTCAGCGTGCCGACCACATGACCACGGAAATGTCTTCGGATAGCGCTGACTCTTCGGCTTGGAAACGGCGATGAGTACTGCAACCCTAGAGTTGGATTCAACTGGCTTTCGAGCAAGGGAAACCTTTACCTTTACCCTAACACATAGGTTGCCCTGACCTGGATGGTACGGGCTAGCCCAATCTCATCAGATCTCAGGAGCAAAGCACAGTTGGCCCTGGTTAGTATTTGGATGAGAGACCACCAAGGAAGTCCAGGGTTGCTACACAGAGGCAGGCAATGGCACAAACCACCTCCGAATGTCTCTAGCCTTAAAAACCCTACGGGGTCGCCATAAATCAGCTGCGGCTTGACGGCACCTTCCACCATCAACATGGAGGTTGGTGTTGCTGTCTGAATAACAACTGCCGCCAAGATCCTTTATTTTAAGCAGTGTCCTTCTTCTTCCTTTTCTTCTTTTTCTTCTTTTTCTTCTTCTTTTTCTTCTTTTTCTTCTTCTTCTTCCTCCTCCTCCTCCTCCCATTGAGGCTTCAGGCAGATAAAGGAAAACTTGAACCAGTTGCCTGTGCCTGTTTAATCTCAGCGGTATCTTGGGAACACCTTGTACACACCAGGCTAGAGAGAGAGGATTTGGGAGCACACGGGAGGCAGTGCATTTGGATCTCCTGGAGGGCAAGGAGATTCTGTGTCAGTGAGTTTTCTGAAGAAGGCATCCATTCGGGCCCACCAGGCGCTTCGACAGGAAGTGTCGTAGGAAGGCCAAGCAGATGGTGGGATGGTTTGGTTCATCTCCACTGACTTGAAAAACAGCAGCTGAGAGACAACGAGGGATCCGTGTTTCAGATGGGGCAGCCCTGTAGTAGCCACATGTACAGTCTTCACTGTGAGAGTGCGTCTGTGGCTCACAACCCAGCATTTGGAAAGGCTGACCAAAAACACTTCTCTGCCCCCATGTGGCTGCCCTACACAGTCTCAGAGATGTGTCCCAGAATCCCTTGCAGTGTCAGAAACAGTATGATGTCTCCCAGCCTGCATAATGTCTCCTTGATGGTAGGGTCGCCAACTTTTATAAGGCAAAAATAGTGAAGAGTTTGCCCAGAGGTGGGCTTTGCCTTGGGGGTCCCACTCACACACAAACAGGATCAAACAGGATCAGCTCACTCAGGGGTCATTTCATAGAAAAAGAGCTAGGGGAACTCATTAGCATAACTCATTAGCATATGCCACACTCCCTGACATCAGGGGCCCGGCGGTGGACCTGCAAGGCCAGCGGGAGTGCGAGGAAGCCCCGCCAAGGCCCTCCCTGGCAACTTACCCTCCCTCTTCTCCTGCCTCCTCCTGGCTGAATGAGGGCTGGAAGCGGGGCGGCCGGAAGCAGGGGGCGGGGCTTCGTCATGTGCCCCGCCCCCCTGCACCTCACCCTGGGGAACTGTGTTCCCCCGCATTCCCCCCCGAAATGACCTCTGAGCTCACTTACACCAAGTGTAAGGGAGAAACAGAAGAAGAAGAGATTGGATTTATACCCTGCCCTTCACTCGGAGTCTGGGAGTGGCTTAAAAACTCCTTTTCCTTCCTCTCCCCACAACAGGATACCCTGTGAGTTAGGTGGGGCTGAGAGAGCTCTGACAGAAAGTGCTCTTTCAAGAACAGCTCTGACAAAACTATGGCTTGCCCAAGGTCATCCAGCAGGTGCAAGTGGAGGAGTGGGGAATCAAACCCCGTTCTCCCAGATTAGAGTCCGTGCACTTAACCACTACAGCAAACTGGCTAAGGCAGGGTATAAGTGAAGTAAATAAATAAATGTCTGTTCTGTTTGATACAGACATCATTTTCTACGGTCGTACAAACAGCCTCTAACTTAGCTGATAGGATTGTCATGAAAGCCTGCGCCTACACCCTTCCCCCTTGTTTCCCTCGTTCTCTGATAATGTCAGTCGAGACGGAAACATCTCCAACCTTGCCCAAAGTTATCCAAAGCTTTCTTAGCATGAGAGGATCAATCAGAAAATAAAGAGTTAAAAAACAAAAACAGCCTTTCCATTATGCTGTTCACTATAAGGAAAAAAAAGCCCCAAAACAAAAAACCAGTCATCTGGTAACTAGCCAGAAGGGGAGAAAAACACAGTCGTGACCATAGAGAGCTGGCCAGCTGGCAACACTGCCTGGCATCCCCACAAAATATTTATTTTGAAATGCTTATGTTTGGCGGCCTGGCCCATTCCACTATATGTTGACTGCTCAGTGTCCTAACAAAATGAATTAATAAAATAAGTCAGAATTAAAATATAGTTTTAAAAAAAGAATCTCTTCAAAATAACGTCAGGCACTGCGGCATAATTAAGAAACCATCAGACCCATGAGATATAAAAACATCTGCCAGTATTAATGCTCTAAGCGGCTTGCTGGGTTCCTTGCACAGTGGAGCCAATCTGAGAGACTCTTTACTTCCTTAGTTTTCAAAATCTCTAAATGCTGAGGGTTGGCTTTTTTCCTGAGTCAAAATTGACTTCTGGGACTGAAAATGTTTCCTTTTAACATGCTGAAAGAAACTGCTTCCGTGCCACTCTGCCTGACCGGCTGCCCTCACTAAGCCTCAGAACATCGGTTAGACTCTTGGTTCAGAACATAAATCTCTTATGAAATAAAGTCTTCTGCGTGACCTTAGGCCAGTCATTCTGTCTCATCTTAACGTGCCACCCAGAGATGATGACAATGTGGTGCTGTATCTCACATCTGCTTTTCTCTGCTTTTCAGGGACAGTGGAGATGACATTGAACTCGCCTCCTGCACCCAGGGTGCCTGCCTACCTGGCAGGGTCTCTTCTTGCAGCTGTGAATTTCTGGCTGATGGTAAGAGCTGCTTCAAATGATTGGAAGGCATGTCAGTTTCTCAAGATGATAACTTTTGGGTGCTGTGTCTTTTTCAGCAGAGACAAAGCTTTGCCCACATTAAAAGAGGGAATCATTGCCTGGGTTGGAGCGGGGAAGTATTGAGGGATTTTTATTTTACATATTGACTAGTGATGGTCCTATCACTGAGAATTTGGGGTTTGCAATGTGCGTCACATGTGCTGCTTATGCGCTTTTGTGACACAATCCCGTACAGAGTGAAGCTGATTTTAAATGAAAGTGAAATTTAAAATCAGTGGAGGGTAGGGGTGCTGATATACATCATTGACTTAAGTTTTGTTTAGAGGAAGAGGCCACAGCTCGGTGGTAGATTCTCTGTTTTGCATGCAGAAAGTCACAGGCTCAATCTCTGGCATCTCCTATTAAAAAGCAAGAGCACTATGATCGGGGAACTCCCATCGCCTGGAAGTCCCAGGCCCTCTGGAGATTAAGTTGGCCTCTACTAGGGCCAGGGCATTTTCGGTGGCCGCTCCTACCTGGTGGAATGAGCTCCCAGAGGAGATCCGGGCCCTGCGGGACCTTGTGCAGTTCCGCAGGGCCTGTAAGACGGAGCTCTTCCGCCAGGCATTCAAGTAGGAGCTGCCGCCGCCACTGTCCTACCACCGAGGTAGTATGCCATCGGCTCCCGTAGTGGGAGACCGCGTTACTGGAAAGGCTGCCACCAAATCTGAGTGATTGTCCCCATCTTGGAAGATTAATATTATTATAGATTGCAGCACCAAGTTTCCGGAAGGTTTTATAGTGGTTTTAAATATTGTATTTTATTATATACGTTATGATATTTGTACCTCGCTTTGCCGTATGTGAGCCACCCTGAGCCATTGGGAGGGTGGGATAGAAATCAAATAAATAAATAAAAATAGGTGATATGACAGTCCTCCTCATGAGAGCCGAGAAAATCAGTCAGTCAGCAAGTGATAGCCGACCTGGGTATACCAGAGATCTGAATATTGCAGACTCATGAAGAAGAAGAAGAGATTGGATTTATACCCCACCCTTCACTTGGAGTCTCAGAGCGGCTTACAAACTCCTTTCCCTTCCCCTCCCCACAACAGACACCCTGTGAGGTAGGTGGGGCTGAGAGAACTCTGACACAAACTGCTCTTTCAGGAATAGCTGTGCCAGAGCTTGTGACTGACCCAAGGTCACATCAGCAGGTGCAAGTGGAGGAGTGGGGAATCAAACCCGGTTCTCCCAGATTAGAGTCTGCACACTTAACCACTACATCAAACTGTCTCTCCTAACATGGTTTTATGGGAAATTGGATCCCATAAAACCATGTTAGGTTTGCTTTTCACAATCCTTATATACGTATAAACATACCTACGCATGGCAATATCATGCACTGTTTTTGAAACAACTCACAGGCTTGTTGTGATATAACATTGTGGCATTTAAGTTTTTAAAAATCCACTGGGCTAGTGCAGGCTCCTTCATATGACAGCTTCAGACACCAGTCCTGTGCACTGTACCCTCTAAGCTGAGTTAGTGTGAGCTAGCTCACAGTTTTTTAGCCTCCGGCTCACACATTTTTGCCTTAGCTCAGGAAGGAGAGCTCCAGAGCAAACTAATTTATGCAGTAGCCATATCGCTCACTCACAACTTTAAGGCCAGTAGCTCACAAAGTAGAATTTTTGCTCATAAGACTCCACAGCTTACAGGGAACATTCCTGTAAGTCCTATTGAATTCAGTGGGACCCTTCCAATAGACTTACATAGAACTTTCCCAGAACTTTACAGAAGGGCAGGGTTAATGTTAGTGGGCATAGTGGCATTTTTGCCTTGATGCTGTGTAGCAGTTAGAATGTTGGAGTGGTATCTGGGAAACCCAGACTTGGATCCCTACGCTGCCATGGAAACTTGCTGGGTGATCTTGGGCCTCTCACACACATTTAGCCTAACCAGCTCACAGGGTTGTTGTGTGGATAAAATGGAGGACTAGAGAATGATGTTAGTCATTCTGAGTCCCCGTTGAGGAGAAAGGCGGGGTACAAATTAAGTAAATAAATAAATGTCTGTTCTGTTTGATAGAGACATCATTTTCTACAGTCATACAAACAGCCTCTAACTTAGCTCATAGGATTGTTGTGAGGATAAAATGAAGAAATGCTGAACCATGTACAGCAGGGGTGTCAAACACGTGGCCTGGGGGCCGGATCAGGCCCCCAAGGGCTTCTATCAGGCCCGCAGTGGAACTGGCTGTCTTCTGCTTCTTCTTCCAGTTCTGCTGCTGCTGTGTCATTGTAGGTTTGCAGCTTACAGATACACACCTGAACAGCATACTCAAGATTGCAACAGCACAGACATTTTGATGCAATAATTCAGAGCAAGAGGTGTCAGTTATCAGACACTGTTAAATAAACAAAATGTTGCAAGAGTGCTAATGTTTTAAGCATGTTTTTATTTTAAGTAAAAGAAACTGTTTGTGCTTGTGTCCTTTATAAAGTTTATATCTCCGCTACTTGGCATTATATTTAATGACACAAATGGACCGGCCCAACAAAGTCTCATTTATGTCAGATCTGGCCCTCATAACAAATGAGTGACACCCCTGATGTACACCATCTTGAGATCCTTCGAAGAAGGGTGAATGAAAATGCCACCATGGGCCACCACAGTGTATGAGTTGCTTTGCCGAGAAAAAGTAGAGTCCATTGTGAGTCTTAATAGTGGAATTCTTTCCAGATGTGCCCCGATTTCAGGACACATGTGCCGGGTCTGCTGCTCCGGATGCCGTGCCAAACGCCACCACCGTCATCACAGCACCACATGGTAGGATCAGGGACTCCTTGGGCGAGCATCGGTCCCACGTGCCATTGGAGAACTTTCTGCAGACACTGGAGTCACCAGCTACTGGCAATCATTTAGCAGGTATTGTAATTTCTTGAAGAAATGCCCTGCCGCTTTGGAGGGTCTGGTGAGAGCAGTGGGAGGATTGAATTGAGAGGGGTTCGTGTTATTTGATTAATTAATTAAAAACATTTATTAGTCACCTTTCTACCTTTCAGGAACACAATAAAATACATAAAAACCATAAATTAAAATCAGTAATTTAAAACTGCTGATAGGCAGAAGAACTGAAACCTAGGGCTCTTCCGTATTCTCATTTTCGTCACTTGTGTGTTCCTGTTGCTTTGTTCCCCCCTCCCTTTCTGCATGTGTTTTGCTCCCTCTAGTGGTCAATTCTCTATTATATCACTCTCTGTCCAGCATATCTTCCCCCAGATTTAAAGTCCCGGGATATATGCCAGTCATATAGGAATGTAATAGAGAATTGACCACTAGGGGGAGCAAACACATGCAGAAAAGGAAAAAACCCAAAGCAGTAGGGACATACAAGAAACGAAAATCAAATCAAATGTGTTTCTACCCTCCTCTGCCTGCTTTGCAGCATAAACGGCTCAGTTGGTCACTTCTCTTTGCCTTTCTGTACCAGTTTTTGATCAGGGCATTGCAAACAGCTTGCCTGCAGTTTTTTTTTTTCCTTGTAAGGGAAAAAGGGGTTTTTCAGTGTTTAAGAAATGGAGAAACCCCACACTTACTCCACAGCTTTTTAAGTTTGTGTGTCATAGTCCAGTGAAGTTCTGATTGGTCTGGGCTCTGGGTATCTGAAGGGCTGCCTCCCTCCGGATGGGCCTGCCTCCACTAAGCGCTTCATCAGCGTCTCTCCTGTGGGCCAAACTACTCATGACACTTTTGTGACGAGTCAGCTCCCGGCTCCTGCCTTCCCTCTCTGTGCCATCTTCCCAAAATGGAGCAAACAACTCCCTCTGGGGCCGCTTCTACTCAGAAGAATGCCAGGGAAGGCAGAGACCCTTCTTTCCCCCACGTGTTGGTCCTGAGTCAAATTGGGCCTCATCAGACCTTTAATATGCTGTTCCCTGCAGCAGCAGTAGGATTACTAACCTTCAGGTGGGGCCTGGAGATCTCCCACTATGATAACTGATCTCCAGACAATAGAGATCAGTGTCCCTGGAGAACGGGGCTGCTTTGGCACTGTATCCTGCCGAGGTCCCTCCTCTCCCCTACCCTCCCAGCTCCACCCTCAAAATCTCCAGGTATTTCCCACTATAGATCTGGCAACCCTAAGCCTGTGCTTAGCAGTGGGGAAAGGGAGTTGGGTCCAGGGAGCTGTTGCCGGCAAACCCAGATATGACTCATTGCAAAATCTAATGTGTAGTTTGGCCTTTGGAGACAAATGCACAGGGGAGAGGTCAGTCACATGGACACACAAAGCTGCATTATACTGGATCAGGCCCTTGGTTCATCACTGTCAGTATCGTCTACACAGGCTGGCAGCCGCTTCCCAAGGTCTCAGGTAGAGGTCCTTCATATCATCTGGTGTCAGATCTTTCAACTGGAGATACCAGGGACTGAGCCTGGGGCCTTCTGCATGCAAAGCAGAGGCTCTTGCACTGAGCCACAGCCCCTCCCTAAACAAAAAAATTCCACTGCACCTTGCTGACTTACATTAGCCACTGTAGCATCTGCGTTGGTATGAACACATGAATCTGCCTTATACTGAATCAGGCCCTTGGTCTATCAAGGAATCAGTATTGTCTACCCAGACTGGCAGCAACACTGCAGGGTCTGAGGCAGAGTTTCTTCACTCACCTGCTGCCTGGTCCTTTTAACTGGAGATGCCAGGGATTGAACCTGGGATCTTCTGCATGCTAAGCAGATGTTCTACGGCTGAGCCACAGCTATTGACCACGATGTCTCAATAGATCCTCCGTGTTCCAAGGTGAGTATCAGTGTTGGGGTCAACAACAGAGGGTGGCTTTATTTTATAAATGTCTACTCGGTTTCATGTTTCTTGGGGTAAAGTCCCAGGGTTAACCTCTGTCATCTCCTCTTGAATGTTCTTAAGCAATGTGTGTGTGTGGGGGGGATCTTTCTCTGCCTCAGACCCTGGAAAGCCACTGCCAGTCAGGTCAGGCAGTGCTGAGCTAGAAGAACCAATGTTCTCGTTCTGGATCAGGCAGCTTCCTCTGCTCCTATGCATGTAACAAGCACCATCCTTCCTGTGTGTCTGCACGTGCAGAATTTAGAATTTCTCTATCCTGATTTTTTTTTCTTTCGAAACTTGACAGGGGAGGAAAGTGAAACGGAAGCAGAGATCAACCTCTCGGACTTTCCATGGTTTCACGGGACTCTATCGCGGGTCAAAGCCGCCCAGCTGGTGCTGTTTGGTGGAGCCAGAAGTCACGGGCTGTTTGTCATTCGGCAGAGTGAAACGCGACCAGGAGAATATGTCCTGACGTTTAACTTCCAGGGAAAAGCAAAGGCAAGCATCCCTCAGTCGTGAATGAGCATGGCATAGCAGTTTAGAGGGTCAAACGAGGACCTGGGAGACCCAGGTTCGAATCCCTGCTTTGTGAGCAAGCTCTGTGGTTAACCCTGGGCCAGTCACACTCTCTCTGCCTAACCTACCTCTCGGGGAGGTGGTAGTGAGGATAAATGGGGAATGGAAAGAAATAATCACATACACTTGTAGTTCCTTGGAGGAAGTGCAGAATGAGCATGTAGTAGACAAGTTAATATATTTTAGCAGGAATGGAATGGGTGATGTTTTTCTCCACGTTCAGGTATGGTTCTGACATAACAGCCAACTATGGTTTGTCAGCATATGAACAAGCCTGGTTAATCCCTGGGTTTGCCCATGGCCAGTTAATTGGTTATTTCTGCTTTCATGGCAAACCATAGTTTGGCAAACTGGCAATCTGTGGGTGACATTTTCCCTGCTGACCTTAATGCTGATGGAGGGTTAAGTTTGTGTTTTGCATACTGGTTTGCAGGCGTAGGGAGAACCTTTGTTTGAGCATAATGGCCAGCTACAGTTTGCTGTGAAAGCAGAAGAAAGATTTACTTGCTCACGGAGCGGCATGCTACAGTTTTTTCTGCGTCCCCTGAGCTGCATCTTATTCTGCCTCAAGAATTTAAGATGTGACCGTGCCACAGTGATCCATGCAACGGTTACCTCAAGGCTTGATTACTGCAGCTTGCTCTACACAGGGGTGCCCTTGAAGCTGACCCAGAAATTACAGCTTGTCCAGAATGCAGCGGTGTGGGTACTCAAAGGCGCCCCAGTGACGGCACATATCCAACCAGTGCTTCACCAGCTGTGCTGAGTACCGGATCCGCTTCAGGGTTTTGCTTTTGAACTTTAGGGCCTTAAAGGTCTGGGGCCAACGTACCTGGGGACCGCCTCTCCTGGTATGTCCCCCACAGAGCCTCGCACTAAAACCTACTAGTGATCCCTGGCCCAAAAGACATCCGGCTGTCCTCAACTAAAGCCAGGGCTTTGTCAGACGTGTCTGCCCCCTGGTGGAACACTCTTACCTGGTGACATCTGTGCCCTGCGGGACCTAGCACAGTTCCACAGGGCACGCAAGATGGAGTTGTTCCATTAGACTTATAGTTGGAGGGCAACAATGGCCTTCACCATGCCTAGCTTGCAGTCACCCCTCAGAGGGAGAGAAACAACATGATATGCCATTGATGTTTAGCTGGTATTACCTGATTTATTGTAATTTAATTAACTGTTTACATAGAATCATAGAATGTTAGAGTTGGAAGGGACCTTGCAGGTCATCTCGTCCAACCCCCTGCACTCTGCAGGAGTATACTGAAAGATAGCCCTACATACCTACAACATCCCCGAAAGATGGTCGTCCAGCCTCCGCTTGAAAACATCCAGCAAAGGAGCATCCACCCCCTCCCGAGGCAGACTGTTCCACTGCTCAACCACTCTTACAGTTAGGAAGTTTCTCCTGATATTTAGCCGGTAACGACTCCCTTGTCATTTCCACCCATTCGATCTAGTTTTGCAAACCGGAGCAAGAGAGAATAGATCTGCTCCATCTTCTACATGACAGCCCTTCAAATACTTGAAGACTGCAATCATGTCCCCTCTAAGCCTTCTCTTTCCCAGGCTAAACATACCCAACTCTTTCAGCCTTTCCTCATAAGAGTTGGATTCCAACCCTCTCACCATCCTGGTTGCCCTCTTCTGGACACGCTCGAGCTTGTCAACAGCCTTCCTAAAATGTGGTGCCCAAAACTGGACACAGTACTCCAGGTGGGGCCTGACCATAGCAGAATAGAGCAGAACTACCACCTCCCGTGATCTGGACACAATGCTTCTGTTAATGCATCCTAAGATTGCATTAGCTTTCTTCACAGCCACATCACACTGCAGGCTCATGTTTAGCTTGTGATCAACCAGAACACCTAGATCCCTTTCACATGTGCTGCTGTCAAGCCAAGTTCCTCCCATTCTACATTTTTACCTTCTGTATGTTTAACAATGATGTACACAGCCCTGAGCCCTCGGGGGAGGGGCAGTTTATAAATCAAATAAACAATAATATTTTTTATTTATTTATCAAATTTATACCCCGCCCTCCCAGCCAAAGCTTATTATTATTAATAATAATAATAATAATAGTAATAATAATAATAATAGTAATAGTAGTAGTAGTCATGAATAGAAGAAGAAGAGGAGATTGGATTTATACCCCACCCTTCACTACCCAAGGGAGTCTCAGAGCGGCTTCCAAACTCCTTTCCCTCCCCCTCCCCCCAACAGACACCCTGTGAGGTAGGTGGGGCTGAGAGAGCTCTGACAGAAACTGCTCTTTTTCAAGGACAGCTGTGACAGAACTATGGCTTGCCCAAGGCAATCCAGCCAGGTGCAAGTGGAGGAGTGAAGAATCAAACCTGGTTCTCCCAGATTAGAGTCCGCGCACTTAACCACTACACCAAACATAGCTGCATTATGGGGACGGAAATTGGTTCTTGAAACCTCCTGATTTGCAGGGTCCTGAGATTCTGAGGGGGAAAGGTGGCCATATGAATATTGTCCATAAATGGATACTGCATTTCTCTCCTCTGCATTGCCCTCCCTTGGGTTCTGTGTTGTGTTGCGTTGCCAGTGGAAGCTTTGGGCTGCCTGGCAAATCAGTTGAGCTGGGAGAGGACTAAAGCTCTTGGTCAGCTGGACCCGCTGAAAGCTGGCAGCGGGCCTCGAATGGAGGCATAATCGCAAACAATCAAAAGCTTAGAAGCCACCCACTAAAACCACGATCACCACTTAGGCTTGTTAATTGCCTGGTGCCTGGCACAGGAATCTTCTTGCTTGCCAGGCAGAGGAAAGCAGCCAGAATTCATTGGCGCGCCTTCTCCCTCCACGGTGCCAGCAAAGGGGAAATGTGGGAAATGCTTTGACTAGTCTTGGAGGCGCAGCGGTGTTTGATGCTCTGCGACACCCTTGGGGTAGTTGGAAGGGTGAGCTCTGTTTATGTGTGTGTGTGTGTGTGGAACAGAGACAGTGCTGGCATCTGTATGCCAGGAACGGGGCATTATAGAGGTTCAACGCCGGTTCTGTTTCTTCCACCCTTTTCTGTGCAAGCCATCTGGAATTTTGTCTTTGAAAAAGTATTGCTAGTTTGTTGGTATCTTTTCTTTTCTTTTTAAAGTACCCATAGGTACACTTTTATTAATTTTTTTTAATCTACAACAAACAAATCTACACACTACAAACAGACACTCTACTACACATAACGTATATACCAAGAGTGCAGTTACATTATATGCTTATATGCAATTACTTAATTAATAAAAACTCTATATCAAATACTTTCCATTCTTCTATCTTCTGTGTTCTCAAGTCCATTGCGCTATCCTTGCCTAATCTTCTTTTACATTTGCATTATTGTTGGTATCTTTTCTTGTATTAACAGTACTTGGGAAGGTATCAGGAGTCACCGGTAGAGCAAATAGAATGCATGTGGAAAGTCCAGGATTCAATTGTTGGTATTTCTAGTTAAAAGATATTGGGTAGCCGTGAAGGGTCCTTTAGGTACCATGTGGATGGACGGGCCCTTTGCCTTTCCTTAGCTGTTGCCATCCCCTCACACACCAGCCTGAGAACTTTTTCGGGCCTTAAAAAAAAAAGGCACAGAGGAAAGCAGCTAAGATTCATCGGTGCAACTTCTCCATCCATGGTGCCAGCAGAGGGGAAACGTGGGAAAAGCTGCAACTGGTCTTGGATGTGTAGCAGTGTTTGATCCTCTGCAACACCTTTGGAGTAGTTGGAAGCATTTTGGGGGGTGGCACAAAGATCATTGACAGATCTCTGTAGTGTAATAATTTTGTGACAGTCTCTTGCAACAGCTTAATAACTCCTGACTTTTCTTTTTAGTAAGTCTGTAGTTCTTCTCATTGGGGAGTTGTAAGGGGAAATATGCAGGTTACTCATTTCACCTGATGGCTTCAGAACAAAAAGGGATAGAGACTTTTTAAAAACCGAAAGCTGGGAACTGGCACATTGTAGCAATAGATCATTATAATGTCACCGAACTATATTTATTGGTCAATTAACATTAAAAAAAAACCCTCTGGTGGTGGAGGGGGAAGATGGTGGCTTTGGGGGACTGAGGGAAGGAAAGCACCAGGCAAGCAGCTGCATGGATGCTCTGCATTCACAGCAGCAGGGACGACATGAAGCAGTCTCGTTCTGGAAACCCTTGGTTCAGGAAGTTTTGAAGAAATGATCCGTGACTTTTGTGGTGATTCTTTTTTCTTTTTCTTTTAGTGTGTCTGTGTGTGTGAGAGAGAGAGAGCCAGTTTGGTGTAGTGGTTAAGTGTGTGGACTCTGATCGGGGAGAACCAGGTTCGATTCCCCACTCCTCCACTTGCACCTGGCTGGATGACCTTGGGCAAGCCGTAGCTCTGATAAGAGCTGTTCTCGAAAAAGAGCAGTTTCTGTCAAGAGCTCTCTCAGCCCCACCTACCTCACAGGGTGTCTGTTGTGGGGAGGGGAAGGGAAAGGAGTTTGTAAGCCGCTCTGAGACACCTTTGGGTAGTGAAGGGCAGGGTATAAATCCAAACTCTTCTTCTTCTTCTTCTTCTTCTGTGTGTGTGTGTGTGTATTTGCCTGGAAGTCATGGTTGACTTCTGGCAACCTCTAATGGGGCTTGGACATTTCAGAGAAGTGGCTTGCTATTGCCTTGCCTCTGCCTCCCGTCCCTGGTATTTCTTGGAGGTCTCCCATCCAAATACTTGCCAGGGTCGGCCCTGCTTAGCTTCCAAGATCTGATGAGATTGGGCTTGCCTGGGCTATCCATGTCAGGGTGTGACTCTTTTTTTCTTGATTATATAAATCAGTGGTTTTAAGTTGTGGGGTTTTTTAAAGCACATAACAGTATTCGGATAGCCAGTATTCACTGTGACACCAGTCAGGGTTATTATGGTAGCTACCCCAGTGACATGTTCTGGAATTGGCCTAATGGCTCTGTCATACTCAATTTTCTTTCCATACACTTAAGAATAACAGTTAGGTAACTGTTAACTTTGCAAACAAAATAAACATAAAAATCAGTGCAGGCCAGAATGTATTGGGTCCCCAGGGCAACATTCCAAGTAGATACCTAAACTGGAAATCAGTTATTCAGAGAAAGGGATTTGAGAACAGGTATTCAGGATTGTTGGAAAATAAATGTGAATTAACAGCAAGTGTTTACCAAGATATAGGAGGCAGGAGGCAGTTACTGCAGGTACACCTGAAGTTATTGATCTACAAGGTAACAATTTTATCAATAGAGCAGTTGGGGAAGAGAAGACAGGAAGAGATTCTTCCTCTTTCTCTCTTGCTTCCTATTACCTTGTTTTTGTTTCTTCCTCTTTGAGGCAGCTGATGTACATTATATATAGGTAAAGGTAAAGGTTCCCTTGCTTGAAAGCCAGTCGAATCCGACTCTAGGGTTGTGGTGCTCATCTCCGTTTCAAAGCCGAAGAACCAGCGCTGTCCGAAGACGTTTCCGTGGTCATGTGGCCGGCATGACTAAACACCAAGGCGCACGGAACGCTGTTACCTTTCCCACCGAAGTGGTACCTATTTATCTACTTGCAATTTCTTGCTTTTGAACTGCTAGGTTGGCAGGAGCTGGAACTAGAGACGGGAGCTCACTCCATCATGCGGCACACTCTGGTCTCGAACTGCTGAACTACCGACCTTCCACAGCCTGCAGCTCAGCGTCTTAACCACTTGAGCCACCACATTATACATACATATGCATATATTCTTTCTGCCGCAAGAAACCTGCTAATACAACCCCACCCTCTTTCATCATTTGCAGCATCTGCGACTGTCCTTGAATGAGAACGGCCAATGCCATGTCCAGCACCTCTGGTTCCAGACCATCTTCGACATGCTGAGGCATTTTCACATGCACCCCATCCCCCTGGAGTCGGGCGGGTCCGCTGACATCACGCTCCGCAGCTATGTGGTTGCCCCAGCCTCCTTGCCTGGTGGGTTATATGTTTGTCCTTACTGCTTTGCCTTGGTTAGGAGTCTTGTGACCCATGGGGGCCTGTACTGAAAGCTATCAGGAAGGGGGGCGGGGTTGAGTCGCAGCAGTTGTAATAGTCATCGCGGTCATAAAAAGTAGTAATTACAGTTATATTGGACTGTGCTGGCAGTTTGCCGAATGAGACAGTTTGTAAACTCTGCAAGGGAAGCAATCTGAAGGGTTTTTTTAATCTCCATTCCTGTGCTGCTTCCGGAGCAAAACAGTTTTCAGAGGCAACTTACCAGAAAAACAAATAGTGCCATTAAAACCAAAGGAAACAACGGCTGAAAAAAAAGCTGACGGAAGAGGCTGGTACCTTCATAAACTCTGTTGTTTCAAGAGTGTGTTGTTGTTTTTTCTTTTCCTCCCATCCAGAGGTGAGCCCATCCCCGGTTGTGGCTTCCCAACAGCCCAGCTGCAGAAATGATCTCCAGTCTCAACACTACTTTTCCAGCTTTGTCCCGGGCACTTTCCAGCCCGCCTCCCCTTCAGAGGGCACAACTTCCTCCTCTTCCTCCTCCGCCAGCCATTCGCTCTACCATCGAGTGGAAGGGACCCTCAGTGCCCGCAGTCGCAGTAACAGCACCGAGCGCCTCTTTGACTCCTCTGCTGTCGGCGTGGAGGACTACCATGAAAGCGAGGGCTCACGCAACAGAACCAGAGCAGTGGAGAACCAATATTCATTTTACTGATTGCGCTGATGGAGTGGCTTTTTCCTCTTTCTCTTTGGAACGGTCGCTTGTGAGTGAGGAGAGCCAACGCGCCACTGGCTGCTCGGTTCCTTGAGAATCTGAGCCTCTTGGTGGCTCTTTGGGGAGGGTCCCCTCTGGCCTCTGAACGTGTGTGATGTCTGCAGGCTGCACGGTACTCTTGTCATTTCCTTCATTGCTTTCAACTCAAGATGGCCCTCATTCCCAGACTCTAAGAGCAAAGAGAAACATCAAGGTGATGCACAACCTGTTTCTTGGTTTCCAAATGAAAGCCATCGCCTGAGGGGCAGAAGCATGATGCAGATAGGGGAAGGTGCTCTATTCCCATGCCTCTTTGGGGCAAGCCTCACTTGCCTGGTATTGGCTTCCACCCAGATGGCTGCATTCAACTGGAAGCAGAATGTGCCAACTAAATGTTAACTGCACTGGGGCTGGGTCCCCTTTTGAGTAATCCTTACCACGAATGGCCCCCTTGGCTCCTAGAGAGCACAAAAGTCAGAACGGGTTGTAGGATTGTGGCTGCCTGCCTCTTACGGGTTCCGTGGTCCTCTTTTTAAAGTTGTGGGGTTCTGAGTACCCTCCGTGTACCCTTTCTGGTACATTTTCTATGCCCTTTCCAAATTCTGCTTTCATGATGTAGAGCTGTCAGAGCACGACAGTGCAAATTAAGAAACTACAAAGCTGCAGTCAGACATTTGGTCGGCCTAGCTGAGCTCTGTCTACCACGCTGGGCAGTGGTTCTCTCCACTGAACTAGCCCTAGTTGATATTGATGTTAATGTAAAGGCCTCGGGAGGATTCGGAGAATGCCGACTCTCTGAATGTTATCAATTTATGTCTAGACGGCAGGAGATCAATGACAGGACACTGATGCAGAAAAAAGATGGATGTGACTGGAAGTTGGTTTCTAGACTCCAGCTGGCTGCAAACAGCTGTCCAGTTGCTGTGTTACCTTTTTTTTTTTTGTACTCACAGGTCTTTCCTGCAGCAGTTTTGAGCCGATCGCTCTTCAGTTGTGAAACAGGGCTTTTCATTAGATAACGGCTGATGGTTGGCGAGCTCTTGCACCTAAATGTCAGCAGTCTTTAGCAGCTGGGGGGTTCTTTTCTGCTCATAATTTCCCCTAAAGCAAAAGATGAGCTAAGTTAGGAGGTGCCTAATGCTGCCTCTTGTTTCTGCCTTGCCAGCTTCATGTGCAACAGGGCAGCTATATTTTTGATGGAGTGCCCCATTCAATTAGAGAAGAACCGAAATTGGGTGCAGAGTCCTGTGTCTTCGTAGACCACAGTTTCTAAAGGATGTCGTTGGATGGAGCCATGAGATCCTATTGGCTGTTCATGGAAGAGGAATATCTGGCAGGCTTTTGATCTGATCTATGGTGGGGGCTAATCTAAGGGAAGTGAAACTTGCCCATGGTAGACATGGGCAGCATTCAGGGGTCATAAATGAACCATGGTTTGATCAGTCCCCTGTTTTTTTGGAAGCTGGCACCAAATTAGGATTTCAAACTAAAGTTTATAGCTGGTTTGTTAACTGCAGTATATAATAATGGTTGTTTGTTGTGATGCTTGAGTTCATCACCCCAAGTTTGCTAAGTAGGGCCACCACGTGGTGCCTGACCACAGAGGCAGCAGTATCGGGGGATGCCTTCCATGTTGGGGATGGGGAGACAATAAAGACGATAACGAGCCACCATTTATAATGGCATGGCCACAGGAGGATATAACCTCCACTCAAATTCAAATGCCTTTTATTGGCATACAATATTAGAAGCATTTCCCAATAATACAATACAAAAGAAATTATAAAATAGATAGTTGTGGCTATGTCAGGCCTAACTCAAGTTGTCACAAGCTAGATTTGACCATACAAAAGATGCCTGAATCATAAAATAAATTGGCATTCTAAACTTTTAAACTTAAGTTTTTAGACTTATAAATTAGGAATCATTAATATGATCAGGGTCACTCTTCCGTTTTATAAAACAATGGAGAAACTTAGCGGTCAGTTCAGTGGTCTCCGGATCTCGTGAAGCAAGGAGAAATTGTACCTTGATTCTATCCGATTGGCCTACTACCAACCTAAGGGGGGCTTCTATAAACTCCTCTCGAATATAACCTCCACTCAATAAGCTACTTCAGCTCACAGAAATGCCCTGATTTTATTCTACAGCAGTTATTAAAGAGCTCTGTATTAGGATGCCACAAACAAAGTAGTAAAGAGAGCCAGCTTCGTGTAATGGGTAAGAGTGCCAGGCTCTAATCTGGAGAACCAATCCTCATTGATTGATTCCTCCTCTACTTGAAGCTTGCTGGGTGACCTTGGGCTAGTCACAGTTCTCTCAAAACTCAGCCTCACAAGGTGCCTGTTGTGGGGAGAGGAAGGGAAGGTGATTGTAAGCCGCTTTGCAACTCCTTTAGGTAGAGGAAATGGGGTATAAAAACCTACTCTTCTTCTAATAACGTGAGCGATACTGGCAACATGTCACTTAGACATCAAAATCACTAAGATTTTTAAAAAAGGAGGTAGGAAGAAATGATGACAACGCATCAACCTTCAGCTGCTCGTTTGCAGCCGTGAAGAATTTCAGTCAAGCTGTCATAAAACCTAATTCCATCTCTGGGCTCCTTTTATAAATCCTACATAAACTTAGTGGTGCCATCAGGGTTAGAAGTTCAGGCCCTTGGCTCAGCAGCAAGATGCAAGCTATAGTTTCACATTTGAAGTATGCAATACGATCTAACACCTCCCCCCCCCGACTATTGCGGCCAGAGTCTAAAATTACCTAATTGCACCACTGTATAAACTTTCAAACCTAGAACGGGATGGGGTGGAGGAATTCCATCGGCTAAGGGTTAGTTGAATCACAGAGACAAAAGAGCAGACCCCCAAATGCTGTTCCAGCACCCGTGGGCAATAAGACTTTAGTGAAACCACAAAACTTTATTAGATTCGGGGCTATTTTTGGGCAGGAACGCACAGGAACGGAGTTCCGGCTGGCTCTCAAGTTGGCCACACCCAGCAGGAACTCATTAACATAACAGGCCACACCCAACAGCAGAAACTCATTAGGGTTGGCTACACTGGGGTGTCTGGCCTAACATGCAAAGGGTTCCTGCTACAAAAAAAGCCCTGGGTTTTGACAAGGTAAACAAAATAAGAAGCAAAAGGTGGGTGTGGCTGGATGACCACACTTCTGGCAACATGGGTGTGTGGCCTAATAGGTTAATATGATGTGCTATCAGGGGTGTGGCCTAATATGCTAATGAGTTCCTGCTGCTGGGTGTGGCCTATTATGCTAATGAGTTCCTGCTGGGCTTTTTCTACCAAAAAAGCCCTGATTAGATTCAAAACACTAAGTCACTGTCAGTGGTGGAAAATTCGTGAAACCACAAAACTTTATTAGATTCAAAACACTAAGTCACTTGTCAGTGGTGGAAAATGTCCTCAAGTCACAGCTGAGTTATGGCAACCCTAGGCAAGAGATGTTCAGGGGTGGTTTGCCGTTGCATCCCAATCCTTAGTGGTCTCCCACCCAAATACTAACCAGGGCTGGCTCTCGCTAGCTTCTGAGATCTGATGAGATCAGGCTAGCCTCGACTTACCATGTCAGGGCAAGTCACTCTTAACCGCTTGCAAAGTACACACGTGGAGAGCCTCCAGTTGCAGAACTAATCAAAGCGCTGTCTTCCAGGGGTTCTTGTAATGAGTAGCTTGTCCCCACCCCGGGTCCCCAAGCCCCTTGGCAGAGTTAAATATGCATTAGGCACTAAAGTGCCACTCCTGTGCAGACACCAGGGCGTCACAGTTGCCAGCCGTAGGTACAGAGTGTCTGCCCAGTTCCTGGCATACAAACTGCTTGCAACCACAAGACCTTGTTAAATGTTTAACAATTTTATTGAGGGTTCGAGGCACCCAGTTTCTAATTGGAGAGAAATTAAAAGTTTGATCCCATATAGGTGCAGTGGGTTGGCTCCAAAGAGCTGACGCTGTCCTGCAAATGCTTGCATAGGAATTCACACAGTGCTAAAGTGGGTAGGGTTTATATAGTTGTTTCTTGTGCAGGAGGTTAGAATGAACTCTTGCACAAGCACATGCTTTGGATTTACTTTCACACTACCCTTCTGCGAGTAGAAGTTACTTTCTCCTACTGAAAGCTGCCTTTAGATCCACTGCCATTCTAGACCTTAAGTAACTTATTGTTATGACAAAAATAATTTGAGTCATTATTAGTTTTAACTTGAAACACAGAAGAGATACTGTGAGATTAAATGAGAGAACAAATTTAACCTTTAAAAGATTGTTAATTGATGTTTAAAACTTTTAACAATTCCACACTTAAATATTCCAAATTTTATTATGTTCGCAAACAGCAGTTAAGAACAAGCAGTGACATCAAGGTTTCCAGTTAAAGGAGGAACTGCACAAAGATTCCGAAGAAACTGGTGAAGGTTATTTGTGGTTACCAGGTTACAGTCAGTCCTTTGGTTTCATTCCACAGCGTTCACACTTGTCCGGGTTCAAAACCTACCCTAGTCTGTGCTTGATTGGCCAAAGGATTTAGTGTGCAAAATCAACCCAACTGCCCACAAGGAACCATGTTTTCTCAGGACCAGTTCTGTAGCTCTTCATCTGAGCCACATATCTCTTTGGGCCGAGGTTCACAAGATTAGCTTGGAAGGATGTAAAAGCTCTTCCATATTTGCCAGGGGATGCAATGCTACTCGCCAAGTACAATAAAAGTAGTGGCTAACTGCACCTTTTTAAAAGAATTCTGGCAAGTAACAGATGGCTACTTGAGGCACTGAATTCTTGAAATAAGCTGACTGCAAAAGAGACATTTTCCGTAACAGCAACAAAAGGCCTCACGCAGTAGGGGGATGGAATGCACAGGTAAACCTTAGTGATGTGGGAAAGGAGGTATTGTAGATAAGTTCTGTGAAAAGAAGCTGAGTTTTGTATTGGTCCCTGAAGAAACAAGAT